AAAAATCTAAACAGACAACAAAAGATGAAATCACAACATGTAATCACATTATAAAATGTTAGGCAATAATAAAGGAACAGAGGAGGAGATGATGATGAGGCACCATGACGCTTGCCCTTTTGTCTCTAAAATACATTTTTTAAGTTCTCCATAGGTGAAATTATATGAATTAGGGTGGGAAAAAAATTTAAATAAAATAAGATGGTTGATAGAATGGATGGGGGTTTAAACAGAGGATGATGAATGCAAATGATAAATAAAATTTGAGAAATTGAGATTTAAGTATGATGAAGTCAATGGATTAGATTGGAAGTTGAAAGGTCTCAACTGTCTAGATCTAATTTTTTGTGATTCGAATCAAAAGATGTGTTGATTCAAATAGAAGATGAATCATATTTCATTTGAGTCAAGCATACATATGATTCGAATCAAATTTGAATAAATTCAATAACGTTTCATTTTTCGAGTCGAGTCTTTGGTAATTCAAATTAGAATTACAATGATGAAATGTTGAGTTTAGTCACAAATTTTTATTCGAATCAGGTAATGGTATGGTTAGAATCAATTTGCATTTTCTCTCGGTTTGATTTAATTCAAGATATTCACTTATTAAAATCAACTCAAAAATTAAAAATAAATAAATTAAATTGCAGATGAATCTTGATTTGAATGAAATATTTTAAAGCAAAAAATAAATTAACAACATGCTTATGATGTAAAGAGGGATGCTATGCACTCATTATGTAATCAAATTACACATAGCATAGAAAAGATAACATATACATCACATCAAACATACTAAATAATTATGATAAATCATACATACTACAAGAGAATTGAAAATTGAAAGAGGAACGATCATACTAGTTATAACAATATATGATCTAACTTACTGCTAAAATAACATTAGTAAACAATATATACTCATATAGAAAAGTCATAGAACAATCAAAATATAATTGAATACATCTTGTGATTTTGGTCCTGAGTGGCTTTAAATAGGATATATTTGTCTTGATTAAAATTCTCAAGCATTCCTTAACTAGTCATTAGTGGAGTGAAATAGGCATACATTGAGAAAATATTTGCTTGTGTGTTGCTATTGAAACATTTCTTAGCTACTTCATTGCTTGAACTAAAGCTTTGACAAACTCATATAGACGAATCAACATTGATAGTGATATAGCCAGCTCAAAGCTTATTTCTTCGTTTCTTCTTATATTGTTGATTTATTTACAAATACATTAATATCTTCTTCTTTGAAAGATTCTTCTTATGAAATATCTTCATCTTCTTTTTACAATGATCTTGGAAGTAGAGGTCTTTAGAATAGGCTTATTGTCTTTTCATTAACTTTTCTCCCTATTCATATTTGAATTAAGTGCTTCAAGCTTCATGATACATCTGTTATCCAAATAGAATTGAAATTATGAAGTCTTCAAGGCATCTGACTAGGGGGTCAATTATGAATATAAACCTTAGCACTTTGTCCATTCAATCTTGGTTAGATAGAGTCAATTTAAAATTTTAATGTATGATTATGTAGACTGTTATATAATGATATTAGATTTATTCACTTATTTCAAAGTTGTTATCAAATAAGAAAGATAACATTAATTCAATTATATATATATATATATATATATATATATATATATATATATATATATACCCTTCAGATGGTTCTTACCTATATCCTTAACTTTTGAAGTCGTAAAAATCAATCAAGAGACCATTCTAAGGCCAATTGGAGGAAGGGAGAATGTGAGATTTAAAATTGTGTGTGTGTGGAGGGGTTAAATGGAACATTCTCCTAAAATAAATTTATTAAATCAATTTTTTAAAACAAATGCACATTTGGTAGGGAAAAACAACATCTAGTGGTGGT